AAGTATTTTTCATTACCCTCCTGACGATTTCAGGTATGTTATTAAAAATCTCGTTAAGGGAGTGTTACATCTTCATTACTTTTAGGGGGTCCATGTAGTAGATGAATTCTTGTACCGATCAATCCATGTAGTAGATGAATTCTTGTATGTAAATGAATTTGCATCTTGCGAATATTCTGGAGTACGAACACCTGTTGATTGTCGGCAGCTATCCGGTGTACCACCGAGTAGATCAGCGCTAACACCTAAACGATACCGGGAGCGACCAGCTGATTGTGGAATTTTCGGAAGATACGATCTTTTACACAACCTTTTTTTTTATTTGCTTCAATACCGTTAATCTAGTGTAACCCTCCGACGATTTATGATCGGAGCTTTGTATTTTGTTCGCATCAAGTGTTTGAGGTCGTGACTCTCTTCAAGAGCAACGCACCTGTATTTAACGTATGGGTAAACGAGCCGGCTACGAGTAAGCTTTTTTTTTTGGCCCTTCTGGCTCATATAATCGTTCCGAGCGTTGTAGCTTGGGGTTTGTTTTTGTGTTACAGAACTGGAACTTCGAAGGAGAGCTCTTTTTCGGAGAAGACAGCGTATGTGTTATTCAAGGTAAGATTTTTAATTTACTTGTACCCAGTGTTGCCTATATGAGTTGTTATTCGGGTTAACTTAATTCAATCTTTGAATCCATTGAAATCTTAACTACATTTTTGCTCGATCATTGTTGTAGGGGTCTGGTAACGTAATTATTAGCGAAGTGTTCAGGAATTTATTTGGGGATTATTTTTGTCATTTAAAGTATTTGTTATTGTCGTATTGAAGATACATTTTATTTGCCGGTCCTGCACCGTTTTGTCAGGATTAATAAATCAGAATTGCTCGTAGTGAATTTATTATTTGGCTCTCTTGTGTTTTCCCAATTTCTATACAGGAGAGGTCAGAATTTGTGGAAAATTGGGTGGCGCTCAACTAATCATTTCTAGTGACTACCAAAGATCAAAAACTTATGTTATATGCCCAAACGAACAAACCGCTGTGGAAGATTCTCCTCTCGAGCCCTTCTTTTAATTAAGAATCTGAGCTAGCTGGCCGTTTATGCGGCGGGGTTTGAGTTTTACAGCGCCGAACTAACCTCACGTTATAGCTTCTAGAATTACCTAGGCAAATCTAAGTTTAGCAACGTAACGGGTTTAGCCGCTAACTTCGACACTAATGATTAACGTGTTTATTGATTAAAAATATAAATAAAGTAAATTGCTTCCAAAGGTGGGTTCATAGCTCTCCGTTCATCCGTTGCGTTGATCCGTCAAACGGATAGTACTTTTTGTTAAGGTTCATAGCAATCCGTCCACATTGTACATTTGCAAGTATAACCATAACCTAAACTTTATTTTGTAGTGTACCCTCCGTGATTTTCAGTATGTGAAAATGATACGAAAGTAAGAACACATTGCTATCTGATTATTACCGTGAAGAACGAATAGGCGAACGCTGTTAACATACCAAACATAACCTCACTCTTGTTAAAAACGGACCAACGGAAACGTAAATGTTCAACTTCAACCACCTTTTCCGTCGTAAACGGACGACGTACGATTTAAAAATTTGCTGTCTTCTGATTGGCTAACGGACAAACGGAAACGTATGAACGGAGAGCTATGAACTTACCTTAATTCTTCTTTGACGTGTAAAAAATATAAAGGTGGTAACGTCAACATTTTATTTGTAAACATCATGTAGTATATGTTGTAAAATTCCTCCGTTAGATGTCGCCTGATGTCGTCCCCATCATTTGAAAGTAAATCCTGTCTTGTTTCTCCCACTTGTTTGTACGTCTCCTTGTCTCTATAAAATTGTGATTGATAACTGTTGATGGTATTAAATTGAATAAGAACTGCTATTAAACATCAATATGAACAACGTTTTTTTATTGTATCAGTTTCTAATGACAAACTCTAAATTATTTATACAGGGTGTTTTTTTGGGAGCTTTAGTTAAAAGTTTCTGGGAAAGTAAAATAGGTAGGTTTTTGAAAATTTATACTTAGGAGTTACTCTGAAGGCCGAATCGATTTAAAATATTTTCAAAATGGCTGCACTTCCGGAAACACCGGAAGTAGATAGTAACTTCGTTATTTTAAATGGCAACCCCCATTTTTTATTGCATTTTTAGATTCTACGTGAAATTTCACTTCTTTTGATACCCAGATGTCGATATCTATCATTTATGGTTTTTAAGTTATTTTGACTTTAAGAAAAAAAATGGCGGATGCAGATGGTACCTTGATAATTGATTACTTGAAAACGGTTGTAGTCATGGCAACCTATTTTTATCAGTGCATAGAGAATGAATAGGGCTTTCTTTTGGTGCACTTACAAAAAAGTTGCGTACGACCGCTCCTATGGATATCCAAATTTATGAAACTTCAAAGACTAAAAACTCAGTTTTTTTAAATGGAATGACCATGTTCTATGACCATGACTATTCCATGAGATAGAGAATCGAAATGGGCATATTTTGACAATACATGTTCCTATTGCAATCTTTAACAGTTTCTGACTTATTCCTATTTTATTGAATTGACACTATTTTTTTCGGATTTTCTTTTTAGTAGTCGGCCATGATTGTATAACAATTGAATTTTAAACAAATCTAGTGACACTAATCCGTCATTTACTGTTATAGGTTAACGTAGTTTTTCAAAAATCGAAAAATGACTCGTAGTGGTTTCACCTTTTTTGGAATTTAATTGTTATTTATGGTGAAATGGGCAGAATCGCGGCGCGTGCTTTCCGTACATTCATTCGAAAACTGGAACGAAATTGTATGAATTTTGAAAATGTTGTACCCCCAAATGCACTACAAACCGTTGAAGCACAAGTGATACAAAGCTCTACAAGAGAATATTTAAGAAAATGAATTGAATTGCAAATGCCTGATTAACAAAATAAATTCAATGCAAAATATAAAAAACCTTCGTTGAAAATTTTTGGTATGGAATTGTTGCTAGAACAGATATCACATTACCTCTCTTAATTTCCAGACTTATACGTTGTTTAAGAAATTCAGTTGAACGACTCTGTTTAGATTTTTCAAAAATTTTCCGTCCTATATCCTTAATAATGAGTTACCTATTTATTAATGAATTATTTAGACTAGAACTAGAATCAATGGTATTAAGGAATCCATTCCTTGATTTGTTTAAAATTCGATTGTTATAAAATCATGGCCAACTACTAAAAAGAAAATGCGAAAAAAAATTGCATCAATTCCGAGATCAATTCAATGAAATGGGAATAAATCAGAAACTGTTAAAGATAGCTATAGGAACATGTAATATCAAAATATGCCCATTTCGATTCTCTATCTCATGCAATATTAAGAACATGGTCATTCCATTTAAAAAAACTGAGTTTATAGACTTTGAAGTTTCTTAAATTTGGATCTCCATAGGTGCGGTTGTACGCAACTTAACTTTGTTTTAAGTACAGTAAAAGAGAGCCCTATTCATTCTCTATGCACTGATAAAAATGGGTTGCCATGACTATAACCTTTTTCAAGTAATCAATTATCAAGGTACCATCTGCATCCGCCATTTTTTTCTTAAAGTCAAAATATCTTAAAAACCATAAATGGCAGATATGACGTATGGGTATCAAAAGAACTGAAATTTCACGTAGAATCCAAAAATGCAATAAAAAATAGGGGTTGCAATTTAAAATAACGAAGTTACTATCCACTTCCGGTGTTTCCGGAAGTGCGGACATTTTGAAAATACTTTACATAGATTCGGCCTTCAGAGTAACTCCTAAGTACAAATTTTCAAAAACCTACGTATTTTACTTTCCCAGAAACGTTTAACTAAAGCTCCCAAAAAAACACCCTGTATAGCAACAAACTACTACCTTAGATCAAATATAAATGAATTATTTAGTTTAAAGATTTTAGTACAACACTTCCCCTCAAACTTTAAACTTTCATTTATGTTACATTGAAAACATCCCCAATTTTTCTCTAAGATGTTGAAATTGCATTTTTGGAATTGGCTTAGTTAAAATATCCGCAACTTGATCTTCACTTGCAACATGTACAATGTTCATCTCCTTATTTTGAACTCGCCCCCGTACAAAATGCGCCCGCACATCAATATGTTTCGATCTCTCGTGGAAACTTGGGTTTCGAGCGAGTTTTATTGCGCTTATGCTATCTACACGAAGCGTTGGTACTTTTTCTAATGGTGCAATTTCCCCAAAAAGACGATTTAACCATACAATGTCTTTAGCTGCTCGCTGGCAGCCACATATTCCGCCTCTGTGGTAGATAGGGAAACACTTTTCTGCTTCCTGCTTGCCCAGACGATAGCACCTCCACAAAATTTAAAAACCAGACCGCTGACAGACCGTCTTGTATGAGGTCACTTGCAAAATCTGCGTCGCTGTATGACTCTAATTCGTTAACTTGAGT